AAATCCACTCATAACAATGACAACAACAGTTAACTAAATATTGTACACATTTTTGAGCTATTACAATTTAAAATGGCTGCCATTTTCCATTATTTTAGCTTTTTAGCATACGTATATTAATATAATAATAACCGATCTGTACTGTAAAACAAAAACGTGTGATAGAGCTAGTTATACTGTATGCAATTGCCATATGCTGTTAATGGTTATTACCATAATATATATGTATATATATATATATATATTGGTGAAAGTGATGACAATGAAAACAAAAGTCAAGTTGACGTATTTTTGGAAAATATAAATTATGTATTTTTTAACTTTTTGAGGGGCGCTTATTCAAACGGGGCGCATATTCGAACGGGGCGCTTATCAAAACAGAGTGGAAATTGAGGGGGCGCTTATGGAAATAGATGAAAATCGAGGGGTTATTATGACAACTTATTAAATTCAAGAGGCAAATTTTGAATGAAAAATGAATATATAAGGACATAAGGAAACCGCAAATTACGAATGGTAGTGCGGCAGAAAAGATAATCGTCCAGAGAGCATGGCTTGTCATGACAAGAAAGTTGTGAGTACATTATTACATAACAGCAGAATAGCAGATGAAATTAGTGGTGGTGGTTGGCTTGTTGGCCATCGGCCGATTGAGATTAGGAGGATTGCATGATTATTGCAGGTTTTCTTGAAAACTCAGATGAAAATGTGTTGTTGGATGCAAATTGTCGGAAAAGCAGTAGGACTAGGCTATATAAAAATGTAAGAAGATGAAAGTTGGAAATATAGGCCTACTGTCTGTCCAGAGAGCTCTCAACTGTCCAAGATAAATATCCTCATTTTGATACTGACTAAAGGAGAATGTGATTCCACTCCACACATTAGAAGAGGCGCTTATTCAAACGGGGCCCTTATTCACGCGAGTACGGTATATTGCTGGCGTTCAATTTTAAATACATCAAAGGAGATAATGGCAAATACCTGAAAAGTCTACCACCTCAACTCTAACATGAATGTAGCTGAGATGAAAACAATGATCAATGATGATTTAATAACACTATATTTTACTGTGCCCAGAAATTGCATACTTAAAACTTGATATATTTATTCTAAATTGTCTTAATTTGACATTATGTCATTCAATTTTTAATTAGATCAAATAAGCTGTTGCGCATTTTGGGGAAAATAGGAAGGGGTAAGTACCAGGCGGGTCACCATTAACCTCAGCCCTATCATGGTTGAGGGTGAGGCATTGGCGGTGCCAGGATTTGTCTGAAGGGGTCGGGGTCCAAGGTCTCCGGCCAGGGGAGGCTGAGGTCCCCACAAGAACAAATTGGGCGTGGTCGGCGTCTCCCAAAATCATTGCAAAGAGGCCCAGAGGGCAAATCTATCAACAAATATGACAATTTCTTATTTAATCAATTTTTTAGTCTATTAATATGTGGAAAATACGTATAATTTTTTTTTCTCCCCGACTGGTATACTGGTTGAGAGGTTGTAGCACAGCCACTGGGGTGAGGCAAACAAAATTAAGGACGGAGCAACTTTAAATGCTAGAAATAGCACTGTCAGGCTTACATGGTTGAAGGTGGGCTGGGATGAAATATCCAGGCGTGCAGTGGCAACTCTAAATGGCTTGATATTGCACTGTTAGACATTTAATATTCTTATGTGTCTTGATTTGAATTTTTATTCTCCGTTAAATTTTAAGTAAATCAAATATTTGTTGCGATTTAAAAAAAAAATCGTAGGGGGAAACTACCAGGAGTCTCAACACCTACAGCATGCACTGAGTTTAGGACTGAGATAAAATAAGGATGGTAGAGCAAGTTGCAACTCTAGATTCCTGGAAATTGCACTCCCGTTCCAAATGTTTTCAAACAGTTTCCAAAGGATCTTAATTACATTGACAGTATTTTAATACACAACGAATTGTTTTAAATTATCAAAACAATTGCTGGAATCTTTTAAGAAATTTAATGAAATTATTGAATTTAATGAGCGTTTCATGAAATAGCTTAAGTCTTGTTTTTGGGCCAGAAGGATGAGCATTCATGAAAGTGAATATGTACTGGTATCTAGTCGAGGTTGTATTAGGGATATTGGACATATATATATATAAATTTAAAGAAATACATATTTGTAGACGGACGTCAATGGTGCAAATCTATAGCCTGCTCCCGCTTCGCATGTATCTTTTCCCAGTCATTATTTTTCTCTCCTTTCCTACACATATGCCCGTAAATATGCTTTTCAATATCTTCGTTTGTATTGCTATGAGTATCTTCAGGGGTTTATGCAAGAGGTGGGGGTGGGGTCTGAGGTCAGGAAGGTCGTACGACCCCCAAAATGTCCAACGGTCCACATTTTTTCCAAAGACATTTTTTTCTAGAAGAAATGAAAAATCATTGATGATGTACCAGCAATGAGTCGAAAGACCTTGTCAATTGCGTGACGTGTAATCTATCTCAATTCCAGCAATTCTGAAACTGAGCCTGCTATCCGCTTTAAGCTGGTGGCGCTGTAATCGGTTTTTTGTTTCCCACCAGTAACTGATACAGATTATCCTCAAAGGCGTTGCGGTCTCAGATAAGGACTGAGATTAGGTATAACTTTGGCAATATTATTAGTCACAACTGTTGTTCTAATGGTAGGCCAATTCATGCGATTTTTTGCACTTCATGAACGAGGCTTTAAACTGCTCATAGGCAGCAATTTTTTTTTTTTTTTAATTGGCGCTATATAAATATTTGTTGTTATAATTATTAATATTATTAATTATTATTATTATCATTACTATTATTATTATTATTATTATTATTATTATTATTATTATTATTATTATTATTATTATTATTAAATTGTATTGACATTTTAATCACATCTTCCTGTTATTTCATTGTGAAAAGGTCCAAAAAATTATGATTACGACCCACCCCGAAAAAATACTTGATACACCCCTGCTCTTGCTCTGTCACTATGCTTCTATCATTATACACACATTATATACACACATCCCCCATCATGATCACTATGTTTCTATATTATTGTTCATGCAGGTGTTTGCCAATAACTATCTCTCATTCCTTCACAATATGCTTTTAAACCAATTTTTTTTTAAATATTTGTTTAATTTGATATATCCTAAGCCTATACTAAAACTATAATGTCCACAAATATGCTTTTGTAAATTAGTATTAAATGATTAAAAACCAACGTCAAATGAAGGAATTACATCACTTACGTTTTCCTTTCCATTTTTAGTAATTATTTGGCTCAAAAAGACAGTCGTCGATGTACCTTTCCGTTTTTCTACAATAAAATGTAAAGTTTATTATTTCATTATTGTATACCAACTGAGGTATGTGGCATTATGTCATAAACAATTAAATACAGATAAATCATTTTGCAATGATCCCTCTGAGTATTCGCATCACCCCTTGCCAAAAACCATGGAACGAAATGAGTTTGCAAAATTTCTGTTCATTTCATTTCATTTTTCATTTATTTCATTGGCACAAACGGCCCAAAGGTTGCGTCAGCAACAGTGCGCCATAACACCACAAGTGGTGCCCACAACCTTTGGAACAAAGAACAGTACAGGAAAATTACAAAACAATTATTTACAACATAACCATAAAATTGTAGGGAAAGTTAAAATCAGTAAAAAACAAAAAGAATCAAGAAAGGCCAATACCAAACAATTAAAAATTATCGTTCATTCAGTAAGTATTGTCTAAGTTTACAAATAAAAGAATTGTACGAACAAATAACAGCATCATCTTTAATATCGGAGGGCAATGAAGCAAACTGAATTGGAAAATTGTTAACAGATGAAAATTTAAAAGCATTTGTATAATATACCGG